TTCCCGGTATTCTATGGTGGTGGAAACGGCGTGTTTTTAATGTATGGTGTATACGCAGCTTTAAAGATCAGAATGGAATGGCAAGATGTACCCAGTGGAGTTGGAGTTCCGTATTTGCAGAACTACCGTTGAAAAGTGGTTCCGAATCACGTTGCATCCCCCCCCTTTTTTGAAAATAGATTTTATTTGATTTTTAAAAATATAAATTAATAACAAAATCAATTACGAATCCATATAAAGAGATTGCTCTGAATCTCAAGACTTCCCCCTCCATCGGTCCAAATGTCAACATTTACAACTGCTTATCAATCCGTTATCCACATTTTTTAAAAAAAATCCATCTGAGTTATCCATAGTCTTTGTTACCTTACAAGTGAGATAAAAATCTTGCTATTGTTTTCATCTGCTCGCAATGGTCTCCTAAATAAATTATAAATTTTCCCATTCTTTTTTTAAAGTTGTTGTCCTCTTGGTTCCTGAACTTTCCACTTAATTTTGCCATTTCTGCATGGTCCATCAACTTGGTTTGCCATTCTTCCCTGATGTGGCTGTTGTTGCATAGATAAAAAGTACCGTATTTTTCGTGCTATAGGGCGCACCAGCCCATAGGATGCACCTCGTTTTTTAAAAAAATTATTCCCCCCCCCCAGCCACGGGGCTGGGGCGGGGAAAGCCCGAGCTTCCCCCGACCCCAGCCCCCAGAACAGGCTGCCGCCCGCAAGCCTTGCGAGCCCGCGGCAACTCCTGCCGGGCGTGCAAGGCTTGCCGACACCTGCGCGAAGCACGGGGCGCCCACCAGAGGGCGCCCCGTCCTTCAGGCTGCAGGCTGCTGCCCACAAGCCTTGCGGATAGCTTCCTGAAGCCTGGAGAGAGAGAGGGGTCGGTGCGCACCGACGCCTCTCGCTCTCCAGGCTTCAGCGAAAGCCTGCATTCGCCCCATAGGACGCACACACATTTCCCCTTCATTTTTGGAGGGGAAAAAGTGCGTCCTATAGGGTGAAAAATACGGTATTTTCTGATCCTTTGGAATCTTGGTACCTATAATTCCTAATAAAAACGAATAATGTTGCATTTTAAAAGGCTGGAGCAAAATCAAAATCTGGGCTCTTGCAGAGAGAGGCACCTGACTTTTTAAACAATAACTATACAACCTTTAGAAGACACCTGAAGGCAGCCTTGTATGGGAAAGTTTTTTTAATGTTTAATATTTTATTGTGTTTTTATATATGTTGGAAGTCTCCCAGAGTTGCTGGGGCAACCCAGTCAGATGGGTGGGATATAATAATAATAATAATAATAATAATAATAATAATAATAATAATAGTTGTTGTTAAATAGGAAGTCCCTATCTGGATTCTACCAAATGAATAAACAAATGAGGTCAGAGTAAAAGCGGCTCTTGCGGCAGCATCCTGTGTTACTAACAGTTCCTCAAACTCATATATATATATTTAGTGCTGCAGGGGAACTTCCATTACATACGGAACAGAGAAGTCCACGACAACACATGGTCAGGCTTGTAAAACTGCGAAGCAAGGGATAGTTTCAGAACCAAAATAAAAGTGAGCCCGTGATGTGTGGCCATTTGAAATAGGTGGCTTAAATTACAGTGAGGGATTTAAGCCACAGATAACCGTGAGGGAGGGGAGAACAGGAAGGTGTCTAAGATGAAAGCTGCTGTGTGACCCAATAGACTAGTCATTTGTGGTGACTAGCGAGGCTCTGATGGGAGGAAGTATGCCTCTGAGTGACATTTGCTGGGAAACTCAAGGGGGCAGTGTGCTCTTGTGCTCAGGTCTTGCTTTCAGGCTTCCCACGGGGATTTGGGTGGCCGTTGTGAAAACAAAATGGCGGACTGAAGGACCACTGGCCTGATCCCTCCTCTCCCACCACACCAAAAACAGGCTGGTGGTAGCTAGGAGCTGGTATCCCCCCCAGTCAGTCAAACATCTTTATATTTGAAATACTTTATTGTCACTTGTACAACTTGTAAAAGTAAAGGTAAAGGGACCCTGACCCTGACCTGGTCCAGTCGTGGCCAACGCTGGGGTTGCAGCGCTCATCTCACTTTATTGGCCCAGGGAGCCGGCGTACAGCTTCCGGGTCATGTGGCCAGCATGACTAAGCCGCTTCTGGCGAACCAGAGCAGCGCACGGAAACGCCGTTTACCTTCCCGCCGGAGCGGTACCTATTTATCTACTTGCACTTTGACATGCTTTTGAACTACTAGGTTGGCAGGAGCAGGGACCGAACAACGGGAGCTCACCCCGTTGCGGGGATTCGAACCGCCGACCTTCTGATCAGCAAGTCCTAGGCTCTGTGGTTTACAGTGAGATTACACGAGCACCCCCCACTCAGTTCTCTTAGTCTTAATACCCCTCGTTTACTGACGCACACCCACCAAACCCCAAAGTCACTTGCCCTGTTGTGATCTTTTCATTCAGCAGCCTAACAGCCCACGGATAGAAGCTGTTCTTTACCCTGTTGGTGGTACTAATCCCACTTCTATATCTTCTGCCTGAGGGCAGATCAAGAAAGTGCCGGCCAGGGTGTGAATCATCCCTGAGAATTTTCCTCACTCTCCTGAGGCAACGTTCTTCCGCTATTTCATCCAGCGGATTCACGGGACAGCCCATAATATCTTGTGCTGTATTCACCACCCTCTGCAGGAACTTCCTATCAGATGATGTCAAACCAGCGTACCACACCGTGATGCAGTATGAAAGGACATTTTCTATTGTGGACTTGTAGAAGGAGATCATCAAATCTGATTGACATTGTTCTTCCGCAGTACTCTGAGGAGATGGAGTCTCTGTTGGGCTTTCTTAACCACCTGGGTTGTATTTATTTTGCAAGTAAGGTCTTCACTGAGATAAACTCAGCTGTTAGATAACAAAATACAGAGCTGGTTATCACGCCAATGGATACCCACACAATACATTTCCAATCCTTCCTTTTATTGAGACAAGCTGCTGCATGGGATACAGTTCTGCTCTCGGCCTTCCAAATTTCCTGCACCCCCTTTCTAGGCTAAAATGAGCCAAATGAGCCAAAGGCAGACCTACAGAGAGGGAAAGAAAAGCAGGGATAGATTGCACATGGTTGCTTTCTTTACGCACGTTTGCCTTTTTACCGTCAAACAGGAAGTTGGTCGACTACTTCCCCTCACATAACGTTGTCCAACAGCCTGCCCACATGCCCCATCCTCATGTCATGATTGCAAACTACTTCCACAAACCCAAATTCGGCAACAGCTACATGGAACGGAAGGGGATGTGCGTAGGGGTGTGTGTGTGTGGCCTTGCTAATATCCCTCTTCACAAAAAAATGAATCCCACACAGACCCCGTCAGGATGTGTGATCCTGCACAAAACAGTAAAAGTGCGCAGATTCCTAAGAATAGGAAATTCCATCAGCGAAAGGATTTCTGCTTGCGCAACAGGAAATTATCCCCCTTTCCTCTCCTCATGCATCCCTCAATCTGTTCCAGGGGTTCTGTCCTGTTCTGTCCATCACTTTGAAGATTTTAGCTGGGCATGGGGTGCCTGCCCTGGGGGGTGGGGAGTCCCATTGTGCAAGAGGAGTTATTATCATTCTACAGTCGTACCTCGGAAGTCGAACGGAATCCATTCCAGAAGTCTGTTCGACTTCCAAAATGTTCAGAAACCAAAATGTGGCTTCTGATTGGCTGCAGGAAGCTCCTGCAGCCAATCAGAAGCTGCATAAGCCCCATTGGATGTTCAGCTTCTAAAAATAGTTCGCAAACCGGAATACTTCCAGGTTTGGGAGTGTTTGGGAGCCAAAACGCTGTTTGAAAACAAAGGTACGACTGCAATTGTTTTTATATTTATGAGTTGCTTCCGATGAGGCATCTTAAAGTGATTTCACAATGCAATTAAAACATATATAAAACGATTGCATATATAAAAACGAACGCCATTACAAAATGCTTTAAAAAAAAAAGTTGAAAGAATTGCATGCAGAAAAGCAACATTTCAAATTTCAATCCAGATTCCTACTTGCCAGTACCCTACTTGTGACATTCCACCTGTTGAAAGCGCATTGTGTAAATAATCTCAGAAAGGCTGAACGAAACCTGAGTGTCTGGCAATCCAGCTTTGTAAACAAGCCCACAAACCTTTCTAGCATGCAGAAATATTTACTACCCTGCTAAGAGACTCATTTTCTACCTCCACAAGAAGATAAGCCTTCCTCTGAAGCCAAAATTGGGAAGAAAGGCCAATAGCCTCTTAGGATTGTGTGTGGTTGTGTTTGTTGTTGTTGTTGTTGTGTGTGTATGCATGCTTTGCAGGCAGATTGGCCGGGGTTCAATACTCAGCAACTTCAGAGAGGTCTGGTAGAGACCCTAGTCTGAAAGCCTGGACAGCTGTTGAAATATACTCGGAGTCAAGAGTGGATTTCATGCTCTTTATTCAGGTCATAGTGGTGAGGAGGAATGAACGTTCCCCCAAAGTATCTGCTTTATATACATTATTTACACAATGGGCTGCACGTGATTGGCTAATTCCGGGATTCTCCTGTAGGCCAATCAGGTTGTGGATTCACTTCCATCTGGAGCTGGATTGGGTGGCTCCTGCGGACCAATCATACTGCTGCATTGTTCTAGGACCAATCAGACTGCTGCATTCTGAATCCTATTGTTCTAGGACCAATCAGACTGCTGCATTTTGGATCCTATTCAACTCAGTACAAAACAGCTGTAAATACTGTTGAGCCAGATGAACCAACACCCTCCCTTGGTAAAAGGGAGATTTCTGTGTCCCTTTAGTGACCAGGTAAATACAAGGCTGTTATGACCTAAAATTTGGCAGAAGGGAGACAACCGAGGAGAAGCACAAAGACCATTGCACAGAGAGACCATGAGCCAAGACCAGCATGGCATACGATTGGGGACGATGAAAATTGCCGTCCAGCCATCGGAGCTGTGTGGGGTAGGACACCTGTCTTACCTCCTGACTCTTCCATCTGTGTTCTTCTAGCTTCCCAGGCTCAAGAACCCCTCATGGTCTCCCAGCCCAGCTCAGCAGAAGGCACGGAAGGTGGTTCCGTCACCTTGACCTGTTCCTACAACTCCACCTCAGAGCCTAAGGTTGGGAGCTTCCGGTGGGTGAAGGAGCCAGGGGTGGAGGTCAGAAAGACCACCCGGGAATTCATGGGAAGAGTGAGTCCCACCTCGGAGCAGGCCTTCCTCTTGGGGAGAAGAGCCGACATAGAGATATGGGATCTGAGACATTACGACTCGGGGGTGTATCGATGCGTGGTGAAGATCCCTGGATTCCCGGAGACATCGGGGAACGGGACTGAGCTTCATGTGCTTAGAGAAGACCTGAAAGGTAAGCTTGAGGCCTGACTTTTGTATGTGTGGATTGCATTGTCCAGTTCAAGCTCCCAATCTGGGGCCCCAGATCAAGCTGACCTGAATAGCTTTTGGTAGTGGCGCTGTGGGTAAAAGCCTCAGTGCCTAGGATTTGCCGATCGAAAGGTCGGCGGTTCGAATCCCCGCGGCGGGGTGCGCTCCCGTCGTTCGGTCCCTGCTCCTGCCAACCTAGCAGTTCGAAAGCACCTCCGGGTGCAAGTAGATAAATAGGGACAGCTTACCAGCGGGAAGGTAAACGGCGTTTCCGTGTGCTGCGCTGGCTCGCCAGAAGCGGCTTGTCACGCTGGCCACGTGACCCGGAAGTGTCTCCGGACAGCGCTGGCTCCCGGCCTCTAGAGTGAGATGAGTGCACAACCCTAGAGTCTGGCAAGACTGGCCCGTACGGGCAGGGGTACCTTTACCTTTACCTTTAAGTTCTGAGAGCCAGTAGTGAAAGTGAATAATAATAATAATAATAATAATAATAATAATAATAATAATAATTATATCCCACCCATCTGGCTGGGTTTCCCCAGCCACTCTGGACGTCTCTCAACAGAATATTTAAAACACAACAAAACATCAAGTATTAAAAACTTTCCTAAACAGGGTTGTCTTCAGAGGTCTTCTAAAAGTCAGGTGGTTGTTTATTTCCTGGACATCTGGTGGGAGGGCGTTCCACAGGGCAGTCGCCACTACCGAGAAGGCCCTCTGCCTGTTGGTTTCTGTTTCCCTCACTGAGCAGCTGCTGGTAGTCACAGGACTATGTTTTCATTCCACAGTCCAGATACTGTTGGATTCCCACTGGAAAGGGAGACGGGATGTGACGTTACTGGTTTCCTGTTTCCTTTGTACTGTCGTTTCGTTGTTGGAGTTGCTCTCTGCTTCTCACAGAGACAAGATGTATATTTGTATGCTCTCTGCATAGCTTAGAAATAAAGCTTAGCAATGTAGCCATACCTGCCTCATCCTTCTGTTGCGGGCTCTGAGTATATACTCTGCTGGGCTCAAGCCAAGATGAGCCAGATCAGCTCGGAGGACCAGAGCTGAAATTCTAACACTGCCTGCTTCCCTGTAACCTCATTTCTCGCAATGAGGGAACCACCAGAAGGCCCTCGGAGCTAGACCACAGTGTCCGGGCTGAACGATGGGGGTGGAGATGCTCCTTCAGGGATACTGGGCCGAGGTTTAGGGCTTCAAAGGTCAGCACCAACACTTTGAATTGTGCTCAGAAACGTACTGGGAGTCAATTTAGGTCTTTTAGGACCAGTGTTCTATGGTCTCTGTGTTCCCCTGTCTTAATCCATTCTCCCGTGTTTGGAATCTTCCAGGATCTAATTCTGCTCCACAACGGGATAGCATGGTCCTCATATGGCTTCTCCTGCGTGCCGTTCTCTGTACCTTTGGAATCACAACCACTGCTTTGGTGACACGTCTTTATTATGGGAAGAGATGTGAGTAACCGTCAGGACCCCCCCCCTCCTCTGCAGAAGCTAGCATTTTCTGGACCATAGAGAGAGTCAGAAGGGGAAAGGGGCAGAAGATTGCCATGGCCGGGAAAGTGTGATCCACCCCACAGACCAAATTCAGGCCCCCAATCTGATGCCGCTGATCAAGGTGACCCGAGTGTTCTGGCTGTCAGGAGTTCAAGTAGGACCCTGGCAGAGACACATGCCCGACTGGCATGTTCCCTGCCTTCTGGTTGATCGTTCGGGAGCTTCAAAAGCTTTCTTCTGCCTGAACATCACAGCGACCGATGCCACACTTAGGGATCCGCAGAGTTTGTGCATGGCTTGCGTGACAGACCTGAGCAACTCAGCATTTTGGCTAATCTACTTTATTTACATATAAACACACACTGAGCACTGCAACATTGCACCCTCTCTCTCTAGCATCAGACAGCAAAGAGAAAAAGAACAAAAGACAATAGTCCCACTTCACGGAACACAGTAACTCTGTCACTTCCCACTCTGTGGAGTCAAAACATACACCATCATGTGATAGACAACAATCCCATGACTGCAATCATAGAGCAGGAATTCTAGCCAGCCTACCCAGTCTCAGTCCTGAATCCATTCAGGGGAAGGCTAATGCTTAATTAGGGTTTTTAAAAATCCCTAATTAAATATACAAGCGGGAAGAGGACAAGAGGAAAAGGAAATGCTCCCCTTCCATGACTGAGAGCAGTGCGTTCAATCTTACTTAGCATGCTTAGCATGCACATTCGCTGTCAGGATCTGCTTGAGAAGGAGCACCCTGCAGAATTCAGTCTTGAGGGGGTTGACTGAAGACCTTCATTAGGAACAAGAGGGCAATAAATATCTACATCAGGAACTTCTGCCCCTGTGGATCTTGCTGCCTGAGGCAGGCCCCTCACCTTGTGTCATGGGTGGGACGGCACTGGGCTTGCCAATCAGAAGGTCGGCGGTTCGAATCCCTGCAACGGGGTGAGTCCCGTTGCTCGGTCCCTGCTCCTGCCAACCAAGCAGTTTGAAAGCACATCAAAGTGCAAGTAGATAAATAGGTACCGCTCCAGCGGGAAGGGGTCCTTTACCTTTACCTTTACCTTTACTAACTCAGGCCAGGCCAGGCAACTAAGCCAGGTGGTGGCAGGGCAGCTCTGAGGGAGAGAGAACAGCTCTGTAGGCCTCGGTGGGGAATTGTAGGTGGAAGCAAATGATCTGTGGGATCTCTGGTGCGCTGAAACATCCATTTCCACCCCCCCCCCCGGATATCAGCTGTGTGGGGCAGGTGGGTGCGGCTTCGCCAAAATGGCCCCGTGGGCCAAATGGGAAGTTTTCATGCACCTCAGTTTGATACTTCCTTCTTGTGCATGTGTCAGGTGTTGTTGTTTTGGTTATGTCAGGCTGCGCACTTGGAAAACCAGTCTGCTAATAGTTACCTCTTTTCTTCCTTATTCTAGCTCCACAAAACAGGCCATTGCACCGCAGAGAGAACAAATATAAATCAACAAGCAGGAATTGACAACAGCAGCAGAGGCAGCTACAAAACCCACGACCCATTTTCTATTCCTTTCCCCCTTCAATCCAGTAGAACTCGTCCTCCCCTTTATAATCTGAGGACCTTCATCAACAGAGCAGAATTAACCCTTCTGTAGACTCCTCTGCTACTGAGCAAACGTAACACAGGCTGAATTTGATGTTTTAGTTTCAGTAATTATATTGCTAGACTATCCTTGAATGGCCCAACCCAATAGACAATACTGACAATTCCTGCTAAGGATCCGGCCTTCTTCTTCTTTGGCGATCTCTTGTAACCGAGTAAGATTGTCTTCCATGAACACAGTTTTAACAATGAGTCCTTAAGTGACTGTGGCGGCCAATTCTGGATCCACACGTCCTTCCACAGTGGGGACATTGGTTTCCGGGTGGGAGTTGATCACGGTGTGGATTTGCCAAGCGTGCCTTCCTCTTAGCACGTTTCTCTCTTGCGTCCTGAGTTTGAGTGTCTTCAAAGCCCATGACACCTTTGGTAAAGGCTGTGCCCATTACGGGTACAGAGCAACACCTTTCTGAGTCTTCCAACTGGACCAGATTTTTCCTGAGTTTCTCCCCCGACCCCTGCCCTGTAAAAATCCTGAGCAAATCTGAGGAGATCTACACAACACTCAGCCATCTCTACAGATAGCACAAATTTGTCATGCATGTGATTGTTGAAGGGTGGGGTGTAAACACCACGAATAAACAACCATAATTGTTCTAAGAAATTATGTTAGCAATAGAGATGACAACCCCTGCAAGGTTCTCCATAGAGTGGATTGAGATTTTCTTTGATTCCACTGTCCTCACCAAAATTGTGGGAAACCTGGGGGGTGAGGGCAGGAAATAGAATTGAATCTGAGGGCTCAGAAAGGTAAGGCCCTGCCCCTTAATGGAGCCTGTCACTGACGTTTCCCAATGTCACAATGCCACCGAGTGATGACAAAGCACTGTGGGAAATTTAAAATGGTGGCTTTTAGCTGCCTGGCGCTGCCACTGGGGGGAGGTGACAGAAGAAAGGGGCACTTTGCTGAGGGCCCCTCACAACTGCAGTTGCTTCCTGCTCAGTAGCTGTGGTTGTTTTTTCTTAAAGGCAGGCCACTCACTGCAAGGTTCCTTAGGACCCCTCCAGATGACATGCTTACTCCACTTTCATCCTGAGTTAATTGAGTTCAGCCTACACTCGAGTAGGACCCTGGCAGAAACACATGCCCAACTGGCATGTTCTCTCCCTCCTGGTCCATCGTTCGGGAGCTTCAAAAGCTTTCTCTAGCCCGAACATCACAGTGACCGATGCCAACAGACATCAGCACACTTGGGGATCCGCAGAGTTTGCGCATCATGCGCATGACAGACCTCAACAACTCAGCATTTTGGCTAATCTACTTTACTTACATATAAACACACACGGAGCACTGCAACATGGCTCCCTCTCTCTCTAGCATCAGACAGCAAAGAGAAAAGAACAAAGGACAATAGTCCCACTTCACGGAACACAGTAACACAAACATCCTGTCTCCGTCACTTCCCACTCTGTGGAGTCAAAACATACACCGTCATGTGATAGACAAAAATCCCATGACTGCAATCATGGAGCAGGAATTCTAACAGGTTAGACTCCTACTGAATGCTCATGGGGAGGTTATATGACGTTGAGCATCTGTCCTGATTTGCTTGCGGGAAGTGTGTTTATATGTCTTCCCATTGACTCAGCCATTCATCCTGCACTTTTTAGTGCATTTCCTACATCTTTCCTAACTGCAAAAGGTCTGCTTAAAAAGAAGAATGACGGAGTTGGTTTGTTGTGCTAGGGTGACGAAGCGCTTTCATCTGCTTTCGTTACTCCAAGCAGTATACACTTGAAGTTTAAAGGTTTAAAGATTGTCTCAAGGCAAATCTTTAAAAATGTAGTATAAACATTGACAATTGGGAAACACTTGCCTGCGAGCGCTCCAGTTGGAGAACAGCCTTTACCAAAGGTGTCATGGGCTTTGAAGACACTCGAACTCAGGACACAAGGGAGAAACGTGCTAAGAGGAAGGCACGCTTGGCAAATCCACACTGTGATGAACTCCCACCCGGAAACCAATGTCCCCACTGTGGAAGGACGTGTCGATCCAGAATTGGCCTCCATAGTCACTTACGGACTCATTGTTAAAACCGTGTTTATGGAAGACAATCTTCCATAAATCTTTGGCTATGAGTGATCGCCAAAGAAAGAAGAAGACACTTGAATTCCTCCTACAAAATAGTGACAGCTTGAAGGCACCCTTACTGTTTGTGTGTATGCTTAGGGATAGGGGTATTGGGGTATTGGTTTGTTTTCATTCTTGTTCTTGTCTTTATTTTGTGTTTTTATCTTGTATTTTTATGCTGTGAACCGCCCTGAGATGAAGGGCGGTATGCAAATTTAATAAATAAAATTAAAATAAAAACTAAAAACAATATGCATTCCACGCAAGCACAAACCTGTACATTTCCATTCTGGTGGCCTGGATGGGAGATGGAACTTGATATGCAGAAATGGCAAAACTTACCGGAAAAATAAGAAATCAAGATAACAGACTTTTTATAGAAGAATGGAAATGGTTGATTGAAGATTCACAAACAAATTGTAAACAGACAAGAACATTGGCAGGATTATGGTAACAAGCTGCAGTTTCATAAGAGCATGTATTTAAAGTAGAGGAATAAATGAACCAATTAGGTTCAAGAACAAATATGCAGAAAATATTAAAAATAAATTTAAGGAACCTCAGAAAGGGGGGGAAGGAAGTCAAGTTTTGAAATGTTAAAATGACTGTAGAATTGTTGAAAGGTATAAACCTGAAAATCATAAATAAATAAAAAAGGAGGGGAAAAAGGAAGATGGAACTTGAATATAAAAGAACAATAACTCTACAAGGACTTGTAGGAAACAACACGGCATGCAAAAAACAAAAAATTATTGAGGTTATAAAAAGTAAGGACCATCCCTGTATATTTGGAACACATGCCTATGGTTCTTTTATTATTATTATTATTATTATTATTATTATTATTATTATTATTATTATAAAATCTTGTCATTTCCAACTGCTCTTTAAAACCTTTGGCACAACAAAGGCTTCTCCTAGACCAGGCTTCCTCAACCTTGGCCCTCCAGATGTTTTGAGACTACAATTCCCATCATCCCTGACCACTGGTCCTGCTAGCTAGCGTAAAAAACAAAAATCTGCCTTTATTCCCTTATGGGGAACACAAGAGCCCTTATAGAGTCCTTTGCAGGTTCTCTATCGGTCGGAGAAAATAACAGAGGCCAACCAGAGAATACTGAGAAGCAAAGCAGCTAGTAAGCCTGATCTTTATTGAACTGTTGCAACAGGGTGCTCCCCTCACACGCAGGAGAAAGGAGGAGGACCCAGAACAAAGGTGTGCCCGCCCTTATATAGACATTTTAAATTGCCCGCCCTGGAGTCCAAGACCACCCCCAGAAACATCATACCTACATCCCAGAAGGGGTGTAGCTCAAGATCACCCCCCAGATACATCACAGAAAGGGCGGTCTACAACAGAAATCTGAGTGTGTTGCTTATCTCCTGTCTGGCAGGTTACTTATTAATGGTCACTTGATTGGATACCCTGGGGAGCCTGGCCAGTTTTTTGTCATGACAAATACTTAGTTCCTGAGCCAGGTCACTGGCTCACCCTATTCATACACAGACATACCCTTAAGACAGGATTTGTGAAGGAGGAGACAATGGGGAGGCTTTTCCATTTTCCTTCGAGCTTGCAGAGAAATGTTTGAGGTCAATTTGGGAGGGACAAAATGGTTTCAGGACTTTCTATGGGGTTTCAGACATGTGGTTTATATAGCAATGTATGTGCTTGGTTGGTGCATTTATGAACATTTATAAGGGGAGGACAGAGGACGAGATGGCTGGACAGTGTTCTTGAAGCTACCAGCATGAGTTTGTCCAAACTGTGGGAGGCAGTGGAAGACAGGAGTGCCTGGTGTGCTATGGTCCATGGGTTCACGAAGAGTCGGACACGACTAAACGACTAAACAACAACAACAAGACCTTACATTTTTTATTTCACTAGGGATCATGGGAGTTGTAGGCCAAAAACATCTGGAGGGCCGAGGTTGAGGAAGCCTGTCCTAGACTAAAACGAAACCTAGGTGTAGCCCTTTCAAACGTTCACTGGCAAAGGTGCCTGGGGGGAAACAACCACTTCCTGCATAGTCCGAGGACACCCTAGACTTGTTTGCACTCAAGTCACCAAAAGTTTGCAGCTCCCCGCATGGCACTGACGTGGAAGGAAACCCACCAGGAGGGGCTCGCTTCCAAGTAAACGTATGATGGTCTAGGCTGTGCAACTGACAACAAAGCTCTCCACCCATGTTTTCCTGGGTGACATCAGACTAACCCGTACAGGGCTTCTTGAACTTGGATTGCAAAACTTTTTTGGTTGTGTTTTCTGCGAGAAACAGAGGAAAAAGTCAGAGGAGGCTGTACGGAGCCTTCCTCCCGAGAGAGTGGAGAGTCGAAGCCTACAGCTGGCACGGAGGAAGGCAGGAAACCTATTTTATTTAAGATTACATTTCTATCCCACATTTTCAATGAGCCCAAGGTGGCGTACATGATTTTCTTTTGCTCTCCACAACAACCCTGTGAGGTAGGTTAGATGGTGACTGGCCCAAGGTCACCCAGTGAACTTCATGCCTTAACCGGGGTTTCAACTCTGGTTTTCAAAGTACTATGCATCACTCTAACCACTACATCACAGTTGGTCCTCCCTCTCTCTCTCTCTCTCTCTCTCTCTCTCTCTCTCTCTCGTTATACAACAGAGGTCGGCAAAGTTTTTGTGGCTTGGGTCAGTTCATGGTCCTGCGGATGCTGCGGTGGGCCAGAGTGCACATGCACACACGCATGCGCAAACGCTATTTCTTTTTTCTTTTTCTTTTTCAAAATCAGCAAAACTTTATTCTATTTCCATTCTATTTCTTCATTCTATTTCCAATTGGAGAAAGCAATGTTTGTTTTACAAAGATAATGCATCTCCCAGAGAAGAAAAACCCTAAATTGAAAATAGAGGTAACATGGAGATTAAAACAAAAGATCAGAATTTGTTTATGTATGCTACTGCCGCCACAAGAACCCTTCTGGCCAAAAAACGGAAAACACAAGATATACCAACCATCCAGGAGTGGCAGGTGAAGATGACAGACTTTGCGGATCTTGCCAAATTGATGGGGAGGATCCGGGATCAAGAAGACCAGAGATACAAGACCAATTGGAGTAAATTTATTGAATATTTAAAGGAGAA